AAATCCCATGATTCCTTCTAGTCATTTTGAACACATTATATGTGACTTCCTCAGAAAAGGAAAGTGGAAAGTTAAGCAATTATCTAATGAATGTATTTAATGGAGACAGTCAGTCTGGACCACGTAAGCAATAAAACATTTTCTCAGAATCCTTTTTTGAAACTTGAATTATCAATATGGGCACCTCAACCTCTCAGTTATTTGTGTATGTGCTGCAAATTGCTCAGGATGAGGATATTAAATGGCAATATTTTGCCTATTTTCATAATAAAAGGAGAAATTAACCCTGTTTAAATAAATTTCCAGGCCTTTTGAGGTAGACATTGGCAAGTTCAACTTTTTTCAGTGTAGTAAATTATGGATCATAAGCTCTATCGGAATTATGAAAATTGTGGCTCTTCCTGTAGGCTCCTTCAAATACAGCTTTGCCTAGAAGTGAATAAAAAGGAGAATAGAGTCCTCTAGAGATTTCACAGAGACTTATCTTAAAAGATAACTTGCATGTAACTTGTAGTTAAGAACCTTGGGGTGCAGATTACAAATGTATAAAGTACGTAAATTAGCATCTTGAGTCAAAAACCAAGGTATGTTTTTTAACCAGCACTGAAATATGGAGAAGCTCTCCCTGCCACTCTTCTGCCCCCTTACAGTCACCCCTCCGGAAGCAGAAGGGAAAAACACCTTGGTTTCCCCTCTCTGCAGCCCTCCTTCGCAGTGCCAGGTAAAGGAGGCTCACAGAGTCAACTCAGCTTGCAGGTTATGTTGGAGAATAAGGAGGAAGCTGTTGAGAGCTGGATTTTGATAGCTTCTTGTTTTCTGGGACATGGTGTCATGTGCTGCGAGTACTGAGATGACATCAATTGTAAAAGATAAATGCAAAAACTCACGTGGCATTAATTATAAGATAAGGCCAAGCAAATATTCACTTGGGTACAGATCTACTACCTGTTTTTAGGACTAATTGCCAAAATAATGTATTAATAATTGAACAATCTCTGCAATAATCTACTGATCTCTAAAGCATCTTCCCTGTTTGATGGGGACTTCAGTCTTCCTTAGTGTGGGTGAGCATCTTCACTTAGCACCCCTCGCATAACCCTTCCTAATACTGACCCTACAGTCCCTTAATCAGCAAATTTGCTGTATCTCCCATAGCAATTCTAACTGTTATACTGATGAGAGACTGTGTAACTTAACCTCCAAAATTCCCTCTCTCAAAAATCCCCAATCTAAAATTCCCCATGTATATATGGAATCCAGAAAAAATGGTACTGATGAATCTATTTGCAAGGAAGGAATGGAGATTCAGATGTAGAGAATGGACTTGTAGACACAGTAGGGGAGGGATAAAGTGGGACAAATGGAGAAACTAGCATCAACTTATATATACTATTATGTGTAAAATGGATAGTTGCTGAGAAGTTGGTATATAACATAGGGATCCAGTCTGGTGCTCTGTGATGACCTAGAGGGGTAGAATAGGGGAAGGAAGGTTTGGGGGAGAGGGGACATATATGTATAATTACAACAGATTCAAGTTGTTGTATAGCAGAAAGCAACACAACATTATAAAAGTTAAAAAACAAAGAATAAATAAATGAAATTCCCCATGACCCGAGAACCTCCCATTTGACATCTCCCCACCCATCGGTTCAGTTTCATCTGCATTTGGTTATCACCGTATCTGAAGTATCTGACCCACCACATTTTCAGCTTTTCCTTCTATCTTACTCTGTCTAGTCCATTTGGGCAGCCATTTAAAATCTGTCACTTAAAAAAGAATCTTTCTTTTTTCCACTTATAGAAATAAAACATGCTAACGAACACCTCCTTCTTCAGGTGCACATTATCCCATAGTATGGATATATCTGTAAAACATTGACCATTTCAGCATTGTTCATTGTTCATCTGGAATCCCTTATTTGCTATTTTGCCAACCATTATCTTCCTTCAGTAGGTGGTGTCCTGTTTTCTCTCTTTCCTGCTTCTAGGTTAATAAATACTGTTGGAGCAACTCACAAGAAACTGTTGATAGAACCCCTGTCTAAATTTATGCTCTTCAAGTTCACCTGGATCATTCTTGATTTTTGGCTATCTGTTAATGACTCTTGTAAAATTAAGATTTGCATCTCAACAACAACTGTTCCTCAGCTTCTTCACTTTCCTTGACTCCCAGGTTTCCCCTTGATCTTTCACTTTCTGGATAGATGATTAATTTTGCACTTTATTAAAAAAGATAAAAATCCTCTATGACCCATCTCCTAGAGTAATGGAAATACTCTAAAAAACAAAACTAAACAAGTGGGACCTGATTAAACTTAAAAGCTTTTGCACAGCAAAGGAAACTATAAGCATGGTGAAAAGACAACCCTCAGAATGGGAGAAAATAATAGCAAATGAAACAACTAAAAAAGGATTAATTTCCAAAATATACAAGCAGCTCATACAACTAAATACCAGAAAAACAAACAGCCTAATCAAAAAGTGGGAAAAGACCTAAACAGACATTTCTCCAAAGAAGACGTACAGATGGCTAACAAATACATGAAAAGATGCTCAACATCACTAATTATTAGAGAAATGCAAATCAAAACTATAATGAGATATCACCTCACACCAGTCAGAAAGGCCTTCATCAAAAAGTCTACAAACAATAAATGCTGGAGAGGGTGTGGAGAAAAGAGAATGGTCTTGCACTGTTGATGGGAATGTAAATTGATACAGCCACTATAGAAGACGGTATGGGAGATTTCTTTAAAAACTAGGAATAAAACCACCATATGACCCAGCAATCCCACTCCTAGGCATATACCCTGAAAAAAACAAAATTGAAAAAGACACATGTATCCCATTGTTCACTGCAGCACTATTTACAATAGCTAAAACATGGAAGTAAACTAGATGCCCATCGACAGATGAATGGGTAAAGAAGTTGTGGTATATATACACAATGGAATATTACTCGGCCATAAAAAGAAATGCATTTGAATCAATTCTAATGAGGTGGATGAACCTAGAACCTATTATACAGAGTGAAGTAAATCAGAAAGAGAAAGATAAATATCATATTCTAATGCATATTTACAGAAACTAGAAAAATGGTACTGAAGAATTTATTTACAGGACAGCAATGGAGAAACAGACATAGAGAATAGACTTATGGACATGGGGAGAGGGGCAGAGAGGATGAGATGTATGGAAAGAGTAACATGGAAACTTCCATTACCACATGTAAAATAGATAGCCAACAGGAATTTGCAGTATAGCTCAGAAAAATCAAACAGAAGCTCTGTATCAACCTAGAGGGGTGGGATGGGGAGGGCCATGGGAGGGAGGTTCAAAAGGTACCTATGGCTGATTCATGTTGAGGTTTGACAGAAAACAACAAAATTCTGTAAAGTAATTATCCTTCAATAAAAAATAAATCAATTAAAAAAATAACAAAGATCATCTGACTTGATGTATCCCTCAGAATTCCTCATGGTATTGCTCCTGTTTTCTTAGCAAATGCAAATCTTGCATTTACCCCAGGTGCATGCCTTGTAACTTCCCTTGAGACCTTGCCCTCCGCTCTTACCTGATCATCCACATGTTAAATAACTCACCCATCCTTACATAGCTTGTAAGGAGTAGAGCTGGACTTCATCTCCAAGCAAGCTGACTGCAGACTCTTTTGTGCTCACCACAGTGCAATCCTGCCTCTAACTTATGCTACTGTCTTCTTCCTTAATCTCCCAAATTTCATAAAGAATAACTTTTATCTAACCCTTATTTAAATTATCATTATTCACTCTTTAATTTTTTGCAATCTCCCTATGACCCCACTAGTACCCTGAAAATACTCTCCAAGATGCCCTTATTGAAAGACTTTTTTTCCCTTCCGTGAATCATTTCTCAACTTCTTTAGACAATTTGATATGGCAAAAGGGCAAGAGAAAAGAATTCATATTAACTAAGTGGCTATGAGGTATCAGAACCTTTGCATGCTGTCTACTCTAGTGTAATGCTTACTGTAGCTCTATGGTATAAGTAGTAGTTCTTTTTAATGCTGAGGAAAAATAATTGCAAAACACATTCACTAGAAGATTGTTTAAATCAGAACTTATTTTAAAAGAAAAAGAGCCTCTTAAAACTCAATAACAAGATAAACCTCTCCCAATAACTTAAATGAGCAAGAGATTTGAACAGACACATCAAAGAGTGGTACATAAATAATAAAAAAAACATGCTTAACAGTTTTTTTCCTTTTTCCATTTATTTTTATTAGTTGGAGGCTAATTACTTTACAATATTGTAGTGGTTTTTTGTCATACATTGACATGAATCAGCCATGGATTTACATGTATTCCCCATCCCGATCCCCCCTCCCACCTCCCTCTTTACCCGATCCCTCTGGGTCTTCCCAGTGCACCAGACCCCAGCACTTGTCTCATGCATCCAACCTGGGCTGGTGATCTGTTTCACCCTAGACAATATACATGTTTCGATGCTGTTCTCTCAAAACATCCCACCATCGCCCTCTCCCACAGAGTCCAGAATTCTGTTCTGTACATCTGTGTCTCTTTTTCTGTTTTGCATATAGGGTTATCATTACCATCTTTCTAAATTCCATATATATGTGTTAGTATACTGTAATGGTCTTTATCTTTCTGGCTTACTTCACTCTGTATAATGGGCTCCAGTTTCATCCATCTCATTAGAACTGATTCAAATGAATTCTTTTTAATGGCTGAGTAATATTCCATGGTGTATATGTACCACAGCTTTCTTATCCATTTGTCTGCTGATGGGCATCTAGGTTGCTTCCATGTCCTGGCTATTATAAACAGTGCTGTGATGAACATTGGGGTGCACGTGTCTCTTTCACACGCTTAACATTATTAATCATTCAGTTCAGTTCAGTTCAGTCGCTCAGTCGTGTCCGACTCTTAGCGATCCCATGAATCGCAGCATGCCAGGCCTCCCTGTCCATCACAAACTCCCGGAGTTTACTCAAACTCATGTCCATAGAGTCAGTGATGCCATCCAGCCATCTCATCCTCTGTCGTCCCCTTCTCCTCCTGCCTTCAATCTTTCCCAGCATCAGGGTCTTTTCCAATGAGTCAACTCTTCGCATGAGGTGGCCAAAGTATTGTAGTTTCAGCTTCAGCATCAGTCCTTCCAATGAACACCCAGGACTTATCTCCTTCAGGATGGACTGGTTGGATCTCCTTGCAGTCCAAGGGACTCTCAAGAGTCACAAAAGACTAGAGATATATAAAATTCTAGAAAAGCCAAATTTAACAACAAATGCTGGAGACAGTGGGGAGTAAAGGGAACTTTGCTATGCTATTGGTGAGAATGTAAATTGGTGCCCCCACTATGGAAAACAATATAGAGGGTCCTTAAAAACCTAAAAGTAGAGTTACCATATGATCCAGCAATCTCATTCCTAGATGTATATCCAAAGAAAACTATAATTCAAAAAGACACACATATCCCAATGTTCATAGCAGCACTATTTATCATAGCCAAGACATGGAATCTACCTAAATGTCCATGGATAGGTGAATGGATAAAGAAGATGTGACATATATAACAGAATAGTATTCGGCCATAAAAAAAAATAAAATAATGCCATTTATAGTAACATAGATGGACCTAGAGATTATCATACTAAGTGAAGTAAAAGAGGAAGATAAATATTATATCATTTATATGTGATATCTAAACTATGGTACAAATGGACTTATTTACAAAGCAGAAACATATTCACTGACATAGAAAACAAGCATGACTACCAAATGGGATAGGTTAGGGAGAGATAAATTATGAATTGGGATTAGCAGATACAAATTACTACATGTACAATAGATAAACAGCAAGGTCCTACTGTACAGCACAGGTTACTATATTCAATATCTTGTAATAACCCATAATGAAAAAGAATATATATTTATGTATGTATAACTGAAACACTTTGCTATATCCCAGAAACTAGCACAACTTTATAAATAAATTATACAAAAAAAAAAAGCCACAACTATATTGATAAGAAACAGATAATTTGTTTCCAGAAGCCAGTGGTGGGAAGAGGAGATTGAGCATGAAGGGGATTTGGAACAGTGAAAAAAATGTGATTATGGTAGTAGTTTGACAGCTATAAAGACATCAAAAATCATGAAAAATTCATGTCAAGTTGGTGACAGTTCAATCAGTTCGGTTCAGTTGCTCAGTCATGTCTGACTCTTTGTGACCCCATGGACTGCAGCACACCAGTCTTCCCTGTCCATCACCAACTCCTGGAGTTTTCTCAAAGTCACGTTCATCAAGTCAGTGATGCCATCCAACCATCTCATCCTCTGTTTTCCTCTTCTCCTCCTGCCTTCAATCTTTCCCAGCATCAGGGTCTTTTCCAGGAAGTCAGTTCTTGAGCATGAAGATTTGGGGCAGTGATGAAAATGTGACTGTGGTAGTAGTCTGACAGTTTAAAGACATCAAAAATCAAGGAAAATTCATGCCAAGTTGGTGAATTTATAATAGATGTATATTATTATATATTATAATAACATAATCAAACAATAGTAAAATGAACATTTAAGTGTTACATTTGGAACTATATCTCAATAAAACAAATAAAAAATATAAAAGAAGGGGTGAGAAAATTTGAAAATAATTAGCAATTAGAAGGGTTACATGAACCTTAAAATGTTCCCTCTTCTCACCTTCATTGTTTCTTTCCTTCTGGTCCTTCCGTATTCTTCTAGTCTTTTTTTCATTTCTCAACATTTTATTTCTACAACCAGTGACTAGTGAATTATACGGTGATTTTTAATCCTAGAAAGTGAGTATTACATGAGTGGGAGAAGAAGACAGCCTTTATGGAATCATGTGCTGCAGAGTTTCTCTTGACTAAATAAGCAAAGTGCTGTTAGAGTAAGATGTGGACATAACTATGTTATCATCATGATGGCTGCCAGGAAGGTAGAGTCCAATATGATGCTCAATCACAGCAACTCTATTAGTCCTTGAGGTTGACATATTAGCTTTCTCTTTCTTTCCATGGTCTTGACTTTTTATTTTAATTTCATCATCCTTATAATACCTTTATTCTTCTTCATGAACCACCTAAATTCCTTTTGCGACAGAAAAGGAGTATAAACAAGGGAAATAGAATTGTAATAAAAATGATGATGCTTATGGATAACAGGATTATTCCTACATATGTAAAGGACTATAGTGGTGTGTATTCTGCTGATACTTCTTTTCCCAAAACACAGAAGTAGGCAATTAGTATTTCCCAGGGCAGTGTGTAATGGTCTTTACAGGGAAAAATTGAAATATGTTCTCATTTGTTCCTTACATATATAAAAAGCTAAACTTATTGCTGCGCATCTGAAAGCAGTCTCATTTGAACCTCTAACTTGAGAAAATTTTCCACTTCTCCCCAGGAATAATAATGTCCTGCTGTGTGGGATGTATTTTGTTTGCCTCTCCAGATCCACCTTCCCTTCTCCTTTAGAGACTGCATTATTGGTCATCTTTTCCTCTGGCTTCCATTTTGATTTGGCTAAAGAGAGGTACTAGTAGGGGAGTGGAAAGGGAATAAAGTTGGGTATTTATTCCTCCAGCTTTCTTTAAAGCAAGTGAAATTTTCTTTCAAAAGTCTCATGGGTGCCTCCCTCCCCACCTACAATTACAGCTACTGGTTCTAGATTCCACAGTGTACTTTCTTCCTGTCTCCTGCAGCCCTAGTAAACGAGCCAGAGAGGGCTTCACAGTCCCTTGGTGGTTTCTCCCACTCTGCTATAATGGGTTGAATACTGGCCCCCCAAAAACATATTAAGAGATGTCCACTTCTTAACCTCTTATTTGGAAAACTGATCTTTGCAGGTGTAATTAAGTTAAGGATCTCAAAATTCAGAGGTCATCCTTGACTATTTGGGTGGGCCCAAAATCCAATGACTGTCCTTACGAAAGAAAGATAAAAAGAAATGTGACACAGACAGAAGAGAAGAAGGCAATATGAAGAGAAGAGGAGAAGGCAACGCAAAAACGGAGGCAGAGATTGGAGTGATGTGGCTGCAGTTGGACAAAGGTCCATTTAGTCAAAGCTATGATTTTTCCAGTAGTCATGTATGGATATGAGAGTTGGACCATAAAGAAAGCTGAGCACCAAAGAATTGATGTTTTTGAACTGTGGTGTTGGAGAAGACTCTTGAGAGTTCCTTAGACTGTAAGGAGATCAAACTAGTCCATCCTAAAGGAAATCAGTCCTGAATATTCATTGGAAGGATTAATGCTGAAGCTGAAACTCCAATACTTTAGCCACCTGATACAAAGAACTGACTCATTGGAAAAGACCCTGATGTTGGGAAGGATTGAAGGAAGGAGGAGAAGGGGACACAGAGGATGAGATGGTTGGATGGCATCACAGATTTGATGGACATGAGTTTGAGCAATATTTGTAAGTTGGTGAATCCTGGCATGTTGCAGTCCATGGGGTCACAAAGAGTCAGATGTAACTGAGCAACTGAACTGAACTGAACTGGCTGCAGTCAAGGAAGCCAAGGAATGCCAGTCGCCAACAGAGACTGGAAGAGGCAAGGAACAGGTTCTCCTCTAGAACCTCTGGAAGTAGTGCAGCCCAGCAAATACCTTAACTGTGGATTTCTGACCTCCAGAATGATGAGAGAATAAACTTCTGTTGTTTTAAGCCACCAGGTTAGTGGTAATTTTTTATGGTAGATCTTGGAAACAAATACACCTGCCCATACCTTTGTAAAAAGACTCCCTGAAAACTCTTGCCAGTTACCCAGTTTGAATGTCTCACCTATCTCCTGACAAGCTGCTGGATATAACTGGCAATGAATGAGTGTCTCATTGTTTTATCTCTGAACTATACGAGTGCTCTGGTGACATAAAAGCAAAATTGCTATTTACATTACTTATTTCTTTTGATTGTATTTAACCTTATACACACTGGTAACTTTCTATACAGCATGAGGTAGACCTCGATGCAAAAGGTACATTACAAAGTCCCCAAGTGACCTTATTGTGGGGTTTCTCCTCTAAGAAAGTTTCATGGTAAGGATGGTAGTTTTCAAAATGTTCTATGGAATGTCCCATGCTGTGGGAGTTGATATCTGGAATAAGAGACTGTAACTTAGTTTTATGACTATGACTTTTCATATCTAATTTCCAAAACCATGATCAAGAATAGAGTCACAAGGTAACTTACTAAAACAACCCCTGTGGGAGAGATTAGGCCAAAAGTTAGTTACATGAATGCTGTTTATAGAGAGGTAAGGCCATGACACAGGCCAGGAAAAATTAATCAGAGAAGAACCCTGAGAACAGCTCTTTGGGGAGTATCTATATTTAATGTGCAAAAGGTTGAAGAAGAGGCAGAAGGGTAGTTAGAAGCATAGGAGGAAAACTTGGAGAGTGAGGAGTTTCAAGGTACTTGAAATCATGGAGTGTTTCTAAATCTCAGTCTCAGGGATTCCGAGGAACAGACACCAATAAAAGCCCATTAATTTGCGGACTTTCAGGAGAGTCCCTGGGACAAAAGCCAGATTGCAAGAGAAGGCTCTGCTGACTGCTGACTACTGGGCTGGATCAACTTTCACACACACAAACAGCAACTATCTCAGAGCGATGGCTCTCAACACTGGCTGTACATTCTCATCCATGGGGTGTTTTTAACTAACACCAACACGGAAGGCCCCACCCAGACCAATCAAATCAGAATTGGGGGGAGGGGAGTCCAGGTAATACCATGTTCGAAAGCTCCTGGGTTCTTCTAATGAGCATCCAAGACTGAGAATTACTGTTATGGAGGAGTCCACAAACGATAGCCCAGGCCAACATCCAGCAGGCTGACTGCTTTTGTAAATAAAGGTTATTGTGAAACAGATGCACCCGTTGTCAGCTGGTATATTGTCAGTAGCTGCTTTCATGCTACACAGGAAAAGTCAAGTACTTGTAATGGAGACCACGTGGCTCACAAAGAGGAGGATATTAACTATCCAGTCCTTACAGAGAAAGTTTGAAGACTCAGTATAAGGCACGTTTTCTCAATTTTAGCACTGACATTTTTGACCTGATAATTCTTTGTTGTAGGGAACTGTCCTGTGTATGCTAGGAAGTATAACAGCATCCTTGTTCTTTAACCAAGGCTAGTAGTCTTGGGGGTATATGCCATATAACCCCCCTCACAGCCCACTCTTCACCAAATTCAAGACCATCAAAACAGCTCCACACAATCCCAAATGTCCCAGAATGGCTCAGGTTCCTATGAGCAAACAAAATCAATTCATATTCTTGTTTTATGTGTGTTTCTGTTTAAAGACAACATTATGTATATATGCATAATAATATATTATTACATAATATAATTTATATATACATGTGTATATATATCTTGTAAATAATTATTGACATATTTCTTTATAATAAAACACTAGCCAGGATGGGTTTAACAGTTAAAATGTCTGTAAGTTTCTTTGGTTTTCAGCCTTACAACAATTCAATTGTGGTGGTCACAACAGAATTTGAAGAGGCACCATGGAGCAAGTGGAGAAGGAAATGGCAACCCACTCCAGTATTCTTGCCTGGAGAATCCCAGGGACAGAGGAGCCTGGTGGGCTGCCGTCCGTGGGGTCGCACAGAGTCGGACACGAATGAAGCAACTTAGCAGCAGCAGCAACAGCATGGAGCAAGAAGAGAAGATGATAAGTGTGATTTTTAAGGCAATTTTCAGGTCCCCTTAAATTAAAGTGAGTTTGGAATATGAATCCCCATCCATCCTGACTTCTGCTGATTGGTGAGGTCACGCCAACTCTGGACATCTCAAAAAAGTCAGAGCCTGTTCTGTGACTCTGCACGAGAGTTAGGTTAAGATTCATTTGATTACAAAATAGCGGTAACTGTGCCCAGGAAAGGATAAATTATTTTCTTTGTATTTGCACATCTTCCAGAGTTTCTGTACTGTTTGGAATTTCTCTGAAGAACTCCTATTCTCTGGGCAATCACTTCCAAACACTGTAATTTTTGTCTATGTCCAAGATCAGTATAATAATTGCAGCAATGAAATATCACATTTTAAAATTAGTAATAATAGCTAACATATATATTATTTACCAGGTAAATAATACTCAATGATACAGACTTACGAAATAAGTGATATTATAATGTTCATATGATATTAATGAAATATATATTTATTTAAATTCATTAATATCACAACTTTTAAGTAGGAAGGTATTAGCCTCATTTTTCTAGTTTTATAGAGATATAATTGACACATACCACTGTGTAAGTTTAAGGTGTACAGCATGATTTTATCTTCCCTCATTTTGTATTGAGGAAACTGAGGCACACAGAGGTTAAGTATTTTGCCAAGGGTCACGTAGCAAATAAATAAAACAACAAGGGTCCAAATCTATTTCCTAACTCCCACCCACCAAGCCATCTGCATATACAATGTAAAGAGACTGCACTGTAGTTTGAAATGATCCGCAAAAATATTTTGGGTAAATTTTCTGAGTCGGTAGACATATTAACCATTCAGTAATATTTATTGGTCATAGACCTGACTGCTGATAAAATACAAAATTTCATAGCAGCACCTGATAAGAAAGATATCTTATTTTCCACTTTTAAAAAAATGCTATCTGATTCAGACTATTTCCTTCTTTTTCTCATTAATGCAATTTGGACCAAAATTGCTATAACATGAAAAATAAAATTGTGCCTCTGTCATGAGGGTTTTACTGATATTATTCATGGGAAAAGACAGTCTGCCAAAGTGATATTAACCATTTTTCATAAATATGAAGTGTATGTGTGCTAAATCACTTCAGTTGTTTCCAATTCTTTGTGACACTATGGATGGTAGCTCGCCAGGCTCCTCTGTCCATGGGATTCTCCAGGCAAGAATACCGGAATGGATAGCCATGCCCTCCTCCAGAAGATCTGCCTGACCCAGGGATCAAACCCATGGCTCCTGTGACTCCTGCATTGCAGGCAGGTTCTTTATCGCTGAGCCACTGGAGGAGCCCAAATATGAAGATACGACCCTAAAAAGACAGGAAACGCTGCAGCATGAATGGTTTAAAAAACAAAAACAATAATTTCAACCAAGACATACTCCACTTTACCATACACAAATTAAGATTATTTAAGGGCAGGAGAAGCTTTAGACTGCAACTGCCAGAGGAACTTAGAAATCACATTCTGTTTTACCCATAGCAAAATTAATCAAGTGAGGAATGGCTGAATCTGATAAAGAATTCTTATCTAGCACATGTGGCCACATATTAGCCCCAGTCCAAAGGAAAAAAGAATACAGACAAAAGCAGACAGGACTGAGGAAACGTATTTGGTCTTGTTTACATTCTTCAAAATAGAAATTATCTAAGAAAAATAAAATGAGGAAACCAGGCCTGTCAGGATGTTGATATCAAAGGAAGACAACAGATCAACTTTGATAGAATAAATTTATAAAATAACTTAGCTGAAACTATAGCAATAATGCAGGAAGCCTTAAGAAAGTATGTCCTCACCTATAAAGAAAGATTACCCTGCAATATCAAAAAAGCATTTGATTTTGGGAGGAGGCTGGATGGAAAACATTTCAAAAATTGGATGTTGATCAGGTATGAGTTAAAGTGGTCACTTCTGTCCTTGACTAATCTTTGTCCTTTTACATCTCCTCAAAATTTTCAGCTTCCTAATATGTGTAAGAATTAAATAAAATCTGATGGGAGACAATTAACAAAACACCAGCAGAGTGGTTAATAGTGATTATTCCCCCAAAGCAATCTGACCTCATTGAACAAAGATAGTTTGCATGTGGAGGAGGGTAGAGTGGTTTTCACTACTATGTATCTTAAGTATAACGTTTTTCAAATAAATCTTACTTAAATATAATTGAATCTCACTAAGCAAAAAATGAAATCTTTGGTGGGGGTGGGGAAGGTTTTAGGCGAAAGGTATAGCATCTTCTCTCATAGATATAGTTATATATTCCCAGTCAAATGTCTTAAGACTTTTAAGATACGTATTTACACCTACAGAAGTTGGGATTTCAGGAAAATATACCTGCTATTGCATATGCTAATCAGGTGGCACAGTGGTAAAGAATCTGTCTGACAATGCAGGAGGCAGAGGAGATGTGGGCTCAATCCCTAGGTTGGGAAGATGCCTGAAGAAGGAAACGGCAACCCATTCCAGTATTCTTGCTTGGAAAATTCCATGGACAGAGGAGCCTGGTAGGCTACAGTCCACGGGGTTGCAAAGACTTAGACACCACTGAGCACACATGCACGCACACACACACACACACACACACACACATCCTAATCCTACAACATAATACGACATTATACTAGTATATTTAAAGTCACAGACAATCTAAAATACACCTTGTTTCTACTTGATCCATATTTATTATTTCCTTAATTTTAAATTTTTGGAAAATATCTCTTGTATTAGATGGAAATGTGTAAGAAGTGTATGGAGGTCCTCTGTTAATTGCTAAAAGTACACTGGAAGTGTGGACTGGATTTGAAATGGGGTTACTAAGGAAGAAGAAATGCTCCCAGTGTCTGGGTCTTGTTAAAAATAGGGCAGACTCTTCTCTGTCCGGGCGGGTTTGGGTGTGGTCTGACTAGAGGCAGGAGAATGGACAAGAATAGATGACCGCACACCGTTCCTGACATACTGCGGACACTAGGAGCCTAAAAGCCCTTGGATTCGGCACTGTGGGAGTAAATGAGAGAAAAACCCTTCCGAGTTTTTATTGACCCACCAGAGCCTGAGAAGTAAACACATCCTTCATTCCTGTAGCTTTCTGCAACTGAAAAACCCTAGAATAAATGGGTGGCCTCGTTTTACCCAATCAATGCCTTAGTCATCATGTGCTAGAAACGATCTCAGAAATTATCCAGTCTTAGGTAGCCCTTCACAAAAGTGTGTAACTCTTAATTTTAGGAAACCAAATCTCCTGGGGATCCAGGGAAGCGTTACTATTTAAAGGAATTCTATATTGAGTCCTTTCCTTACGAAAATACTCACCCTCTGTTTTGCTTTTTTTGTTTGTCCAGAATTCTGGTTTTCCCAAAAGGAGGTGTATGAGTGAATGTCAGTCACTCAGTCGTGTCCAACTCTTTACGACCCCATGGACTGTAGCCCACCAGGCTCCTCTGTCCATGGATTCTCCAGGCAAGAATACTGGGAGTGGGTAGCCATTCCCTTCTCCAGGAGAATCTTCCCGACCCAGGGATCAAACCCAGGTCTCCTGCATTGCAGGCGGATTCCTCACCATCTGAGACACCAGTGAAGCCCAAAATGAGGTGTATTTATGTGATATTGTCTTAATTTTCACTACTACATTAAGAATTTTTTTTTAAATTCTTTAGTATTTATTAACTGTATCATTGTGTAGCTACTAAAATTATAACTGTAAAAACTATACAACTTGGGGAAATGTAAATGAAAAGTTATATGAGAAAAGTAGAACTAGAAATTGTGCATTTGCCAAACATTCTATACTATATAAAAAGTATAAGTATATCTGAATTAAGACCAGAATATGCTTTTATAAGTTAAGGCTTGAGGAAATTTCCTGTGATCTGGTGGTTAAGACTTCATGCTCCCAATACAGGGGGCATTGGGTTTGATCACTAGTCAGGGAACCAAGAACCTACACATGCCCCATGGCTTGGGCAAAAAAAATTTTAAACTTTTAAAAAATGTAATAGCTGATAACACAATGTTACAGAAAACTTACATAAACATGCTCATTAATTTCAAGATTAATTATAAAATTAACTGAACCATTTATATGTCCCACTGGCTGTTTGCTTAAAGTGAAATATTGACACAATGCATTGAGTAGAAACTCAGTTCAAATCCTGATTCCTCCATTCTGAAGCCTTGGGCAAGAGGCAACCTCACACAGTCTTTGTCTTCGCATCTAAAATGCAAAGATAGTAACCTACAAAACAGGTGATTGAGAGAGGATTAGGTCAGGAAACATTTAGTAAGTGGTTGAGAGTGTACAAGAGCTATGAAGTGTGAAAGACCCATGGAAGCTAAATGCAAGCTGGACCTTCAGGAAGTCAGAAAATTTTTCAGGCTGGATCCTGTTAAGTCGGGGTGCCCTGATCAAACTACACTTTGCCCATTCCCCATTCATGCCAATAACCCACCAAGTAATCTTGACTCTGGGCTTCCCTGGTGGCGCAGTGGCAAAGAATTTGGCTGCCAATGCAGGAGACACAACAGACTCAGGTCTGATCCCTGGGTCAGGAAGATACCTGGAGTAGGAAATGGCAACCCACTCCAGTATTATCACCTGGAAAATTCCTTAGCAGAGGAGCCTGACTGGCTACAGTTTATGGGGTCGCAGAGTCGGACACAACTGAGCGACTGAACACACATATAATCTTGACTCCTTGCATGACATTCATTAAAGAGTGTTAACTACCCTTCAAGTACATAAGAGACATACCTTTCAAAGAGTTGGAATATTCCAATGATTCCACAGCAGTAAACACTACTCCCATGTAATTGCATTACCCAGAAGTCTAACCTACTTCCTTCTAGACATGAGTGCAGGTATAGTCCTTCTGAATGCTAGATTAGATTTCCTCCTTTCACTAGGCCAGACATCTCCCAACTACAGGGAAATCCATCTAAAGTATCTTGACAGCACAGGATTACTCGCATTTCATTATTGTTGCTGTGTCAATCACAATATATACCAAACACACAAAGGTTTGACAAAGACTGGATGGCTTACAATCACGGCATTCTGCAGTGTACCTGCAGGAAATGCAAATCACTAAGGTTTCCCTGAACTGGGATTTAGTCTACCAGACAAGTCTTGCCTTTGCTCTGCTATCTATTAAAGTGGGAAAGTTGCAAACATAAAAAGGTTCAAGACATCCTAGAAATGTAATTTGATAGGGAGTAATGCCCCCCATTTTTAGGGGCTCCAAAATCACTGCAGATGGTGACTGCAGCCATGAAATTAAAAGACACTTACTCCTTGGAAGGAAAGTTATGACCAACCTAGATAGCATATTAAAAAGCAGAGACATTACTTTATCAGCAAAGGTCTGTCTAGTCAAGGCTTTGGTTTTTCCAGTGGTCACGTATGGATGTGAGAGTTGGACTGTGAAGAAAGCTGAGCACCAAAAAATTGATGCTTTTGAACTATGGTGTTGGAGAAGACTCTTGAGAGTCCCTTGGACTGCAAGGAAATCCAACCAGTCCATCCTAAAGGAAATCAGTCCTGGGTGTTCATTGGAAGGACTGATGCTGAAGCTGAAACTCCAATACTTTGGCCACCTCATGCGAAGAGTTGACTTATTGGAAAAGACCGTGATGCTGGGAGGGATTGGGAGCAGGAGGAGAAGGGGACAACAGAGGATGAGATGGCTGGATGGCATTACCGACTCAATGGACATGAGTTTGAGTAAACTCTGGGAGTTGGTGATGGACAGGGAGGCCTGGCGTGCTGCGATTAATGGGGTCACAAAGAGTCGGACACGACTGAGTGACTGAACTGAACTGAACTGAATGCCCCCCCACCCCCAACCCCAACCCACCAAAGTGCAGGGGATCAACTTAGTGTCAGTCTAATAGAAAACTACCACACTGGGGTGAATTTTAGGTTCCCAATGTTGTCAACATTCCTTATCAGTAACAAAATGGAACTGAGAAAATTCTCAGTTCTGGTGTGGTTACGAATATGACAAGATTAACACACACACACACAAATACAGGAAGAAAACTGAAAGTGTCCTTTGAAAATTAGAGATATGCATAAACAAAAAATTCTGAGAATAATACAAAGTAAGATTAATTAACACGTGCCCTGAAACTGAAATACTCTGCTGATGTAACAGGAGAAATAATCTAGACAAACCATTAATAAAAGGGTTTGAGATTACAATGGAGCACAAGTTCAATGATACTGATAGAAAGAAAGAAAGTGAAGTCACTCAGTCGTGTCTGACTCTTTGTGGCCCCATGGACTGTAGCCCACCAGGTTCCTTCATCCATGGAA